ACAGCTTTGGCCCATGACCACCTCAAGATGCCATGTGTCCTTTCAGATAGTCAGATTCCCATAGGCCCAACACATCACTCACATTTCCCAAGCTGTGTTCTGGCCCTATGGTGAAAAACATCCCCTATGACAATAGGGGATGGCGCTTGATGTCCCTTGTGGTTGGTGGGATAGAAGGCACAGCACAGTTGGGTGAAGCCGGGCTGGTAGATGGAGCTGGGGCAAAAATGGGCACTTAATCTCCATACCCAAGCAAACATTCACCTGTATGTATAGCAGGAGGGAAACATAGATGGGGCCAGAACTCTCTGTGTTTATTAAACAAGAAGGCAGAAGTAGGCTGGCTATAGGTACCCTTGAGCAAAGATGTGATAGGACCCCATTTATCGTAATGGATCAGCTGTCACTTGTAGCAGATGCAGTAAACCAAAAGCCTAGAGGGGACCATGCAGAATACCACATGAGGAGTACTGCAAGCCAAGTGGAATGCCCCAGCTGCTTCCAGAAACTAACCCTGCAGCCAGGAACAGAATTATGGCATCATTGGGTTTTCTACTTCCAGTGCTCAAAGTAGGTGCAGGAGCATGCCATGGTTAACAAGCTAGTGCCGGAAGAAACCTAGCCCCTTGTTAAATGGCCCAGATCCAGATAACTGAAAAACTGCCTACTCCTTCATGAGCATGCCCAGAATCAGGGATCTTTAGGGGAGCCCCTATTGTGTATCTCAGTACTTTGAGAGGTAAGGCTGGCGAAGACACAAAACAAGAGAAATCTGGCTGTTTCTAAATAATGGGTTGGTTTTCTTATGGTTTTATATTGTGATTTTGTTGTACATTGCTCTGGTGGCCCTAGAAGGCAAAAAAAGGAGATGTATAATATCATATGTTACATAATAATGATAATAATAACCATGTACTATCAAGTCATGGTGACCTCTTCAGAATTTTCCAGGTAAAGGATACTCAGAAGTGGTATTTTCTTCTTCTGGGGACACCCTGGGATGATGCGGCTTGCCCAAGGCCACACAGGCAGGTTGTACTCACAGGAGGCACAGTGGGGAATTGAACTCACACTAATTATCTAGGCAGCATTGGTTGCATATCCTTCAATTAAATCCTGAATCAGCCTAATCTGGAATAATCTGAGTGAAGTTTGAATTGGAAGTGGAATGGGCAGCTTTGATTTGTGAGTAAAATGACAGGGTCCAAAGTAATTCAGACCAGTTCAGTGATGCAGATATCTCATTGAGTGTGGAAAAGGCAGGCAGTGTGTTTTCAATAAGACCAAATGCAAAAAAATGTCTAGGTGGTGTGATCTGAAGGGGAAAGAAGGGAGCTGGCCTTGGTTACTGATTGCTGTAACTTGAAAAATGAAATAAGAATTTCATCTCACTATATAGTTATGGTGCTTGCAGGCAAGATTTGTGCATGATTGCTTAAGCTATATGGTCAGTTATCTAATCCAGTTGTTCATCAATTTAGATATTAGGTCTAGCTGTTAGTGCAGTACTAAACTGATCATAGAGCTGGGGATACAGTTTGATGTTATTTTTGATGGCCACCAGTCTCTTCTTTTATATCACAGTGTTTTTTCTTGTTTTTTAGAGTGCTTTGGCATAGCCCACTTTTTGGTTTTCTTTTAGTGGGAATGGTTCATTGTGAGTCTCTGTGTGTTTGAGAAGGCAGTTACATTGCTTTAAAAAAATCCCCTATTTAATTCAGGTATAGCTTGTTTTAAATTGCTATAAAACTGGGTGAATACACAATACATGTGTAAGAGTGGAATAATTTGATAGGGAACTGTGGGGGTTGTTTTGGAGCGGTAGTGAATTCTTTTACTCCTTCACCAGAGATTTGTTTATTTTAATGTGGATGTGGAATCGATTCATTTAAATTGATTCCCCCTATGTGAATGCCTTTGTCTGTGCTAATTTTGCTGGCTGACTTTCCCAGCCAATTCCCGCCTGCTGTTGTTGTGTTAAAAGCATAGGGTGGGGAAGAAACCCGGTCACCAAGCAGCCTTGCAGGAGCCCCCTGCCACTCACTCGCTGGCCCAAATCTTATTTCAGTCCCGAGGAGAGGGTTGAGGGATAGATAAGGTAAGATCATCCCGAGGAGGCGTCCACAGACCACAGAACCGGCAGCTGAAAAGCAGGCTAGCCAGCCAAAATATGCCACCACCTCTCTCTTCCCCCCTCCAGCCAGCCAGTTTCAGCCCATGTCTCCTCTGCCTTGGCTATTTGTGTGTGTTTTGTTTGTGTGTTTGAGACACGTGTCAGCTACCTGTTGCTGCTGGGCATCCTGCATATATCAGCAATCACAAGGCACTGCTGTGCATGTGAAGGCTTTTCTAACACTGGCTTGCTTGGGTGTTTCCTATTGCACTTCCCTCCTCTGGGCATGCACATCTAGGGTAAACGTACATACAGGCCCGCCCACCTGCCTTTCTGAATTCCAGCCTGGGTAGAAGAGAGAGCACAGTCATCCAGCAAGGGTGCCCTGTCAAAAACACTGGAATAAACTTTGTTTCAGGAGAATGCAAACTGCAATTCCAACACCACATGACTACCACCTGATTTGGAGTCGATTTAAATTTACACCGACACATATTTCAGACTATTGCTTTAATGTAAACAAGTCCTTAGCCAAGAAAATGAATGTTCTCTTTCCTCCCATGTCTGAATCTTAGAGATATTGTTAGGGCTCAAGCATGGTAACCCCCAGGAAGGGAACAAAGTCCACTTGAAATATATATATTTAGCTGCTAGCCTCTTAGCCTGCCTGCTTGCCCACATCTGACAAGTTACAAGCCTGCCTGCCTGTACCCGCTGTGCTGCCTTTTAGTAACATACTTTAACCCAGCTGAATGCTTGCTGTTTAACTGGCTCTTCTTGGTGCTGTTCTTCAGCTGTAAAGCTTAGGGATTTTGTAAGGAAAGTGTTCCCAATATTAGGAAGACATTGCTGGTTAGCTTAGTGGCTTAGGTTTCAGGCTGCAGAGACAGAGATTGGGAGTTCAATTCCCCACTCTGCCACTTTGAGAAAGGCTGGACTTGGTGATCCATAGGATCCTTTCCAGCTCTGCAGTTCAAAGGTAATTGTTATTATTATTACAATAAAAGGACAAATTCAGCCTGAGTAGGTGACACTGAACACTAAGCAGAATGTACATACAGTACTTCAATAATTCTTTTATTTTTCTTTTAAAATCCAAAGTATAATGTGGCTACAGTGTAATCCTCTGAACTTAGTGTCTGAAATTTGGCTGGGTCTCTCTCCTCTTTAATAATAATTATATGTATGTTCTCAAGTCCATTCTGAGTTACAGTGACCTTTCCTAGGGTTTGCGCGGTACAGAGCACTTAGGTTTATAGTTCCCTTCTTCTAGGGGTGCCCTGGGATTGTACAGCCTGATGAATCTTACACAGCCTGATTCTTCTCCTGGGAGACACAGAGAGGAATCAAACTCCCAACCAAGTCACTGAGCTATTAGAATCCATTATACCCTGTTTCCCTAAAAATAAGACCTAACCTGAGTATAAGCCCTAGTATGATTTTTCAGGATGCTCTAATATAAGCCCTACCCCCCAAATTAGCCCCAGTTAAGTGAAACCCTGTCCTCCACCTTTGTGCAGCAACCAGAAGACGATGACAGGACTGTATTTGAATAAATGTAGATTGTTGTACATGAAAAAAAATAAAAATAAAACATCCCCTGAAAGTAAGCCCTAATGCATTTTCTGGATCAAAAATTAATATAAGACCCTGTCTTATTTTGGGGGAAACACAGTAGCTACATATTTTGTGTACATTAGTGAAAATACAAAATATATAAAATAACCACTTTCGTTTTACAGTCTCCATCAATGAAGGAGCTGGCAATTCAGAGTCTGAACCAAATCATACAGAGTCTAAAATTGCTTAGGACCAAGTTAGGATCTAGTCTGGAGTCTGGAATTGGTCCCCAAATGAAACCTAGTCACAACCCTAATTTATAATTTATAATTTAATTTTAATTGTAATTTAAAATATATTTAAATAATTAATAAGTGAAAGGCAGGAAATCTACTCCTGTAGCTCTCAGGTTAGGTGACTACCTAGCCTCTGCTTAAGTGGGAGGTAATTTTATTACAATTATTTTAATGGAGTTTTATTGTTATTGTGATCTTATAATCTCCTCTAAAACCCTATCAAGAAATAAAGTGGGCTATAAACACAAGAAATGCAGTTGTAGAAACCTAAAGCCACAGCATGTACCTTAGAGACTGATTTATTATGGCATCAACTTTTATAGAGAAGGGTTTATTTTTCTTGATACATGAAAAAGTCTAAGAAAGTGATGAATATAGATGGGTTTTGGATATGCAATCACAGAATCCCAATCATTATCACAATATAGATATAAAGATAAAAGTGGACTCCCTTTAAAATTAGTAAGGTGAAATTCTCCCATTCACTGGGGTCCCCTAGAAAACTCATGCATTTGCTTCCTAGAGGTCTAAAACAGGAGTTTTCAAATGCAGTCCCCAAATGTTGTTGAACTTCAGCCCCAGGAATCCTGGCCATAGGTCATGTTGGCTGCTTTTTCTGGGAGCTGAAGTCCATCCAACAACATCTGGGGGTCCAAGGTTGAGAATTACTCATCTAACCCAGATGACAACTGGTTCTTAATCCATGTCTGTTATGGCTGATCAATAGCATTAAACTGTTGTCACACAATATGAATGCACATAGTTCTGCCTTCTTTGTATAGCCTCATAGAGGGTCAAACTCCATTACACCCTTTTGATAAGTCAACTATATCAGGTTTATTGGAGAGTGTGACAAGAGAAGGACCTGGAATTCTTTTCTACTTCCTTAGCACTTCGCATCACAGAGAAAGTGATGTGTGCAACAAAATGTAAGCACATAATGCGAGATAATGTCAGTTGACTTGAGATTCCAAACATCATTTTCCCACTGAAGATCTACGTTGCAAAGACACAAAGTATAGAATGCTTACCTGGGAAATGTGCTGTCTCCTTTGCAGATTGGTGCTGTGGAGATTTGTTTTGTCTGTTGTGTTTTCTTCTGCCTCACAGTGAGGCTTTTATATAACCACTTCCAGCACCAAATGACATAAACAGCCCTTGTCAATACCCTAGACCCTCGGAGAGCCTAGAGTGATTGGATACCTAGGAATACCAAATGGCTTTGTTGCTCATACCTCTTCTTGTTTTCCTGGGATTATTAAGAGGTCTAAGTTTCCAAGAAGAGATACTTGCCTTGTTTCCTGCTATAAGAAATGTTGAACTGTGATTCTTTCTCCCCCCCTCTTTCCCCCCCTCTCAGTCTTTGTAGCATGCATAGTCTTATTTCACTATATAATTACTATTTCTCTATATCATTATAGTGAATGTGAGGAAAATTTGGCTATGATATCTGTCACCCCACTGATTGCCAGGGTTGATTTGTCTGATCTGGCTGGCTAGGCGGGTGTCCCCTTCCTCCCACACCACTCCACATGCATCCCTTCCAAAGCTGAACGCTTGGTGGAAGAGGTTGACCATCCCAGATAGGAGTGTACCATTCTTCAGTCAAGGATATACAATAAACTGTTTCGATAATCTATTCTATGTAATTAATTAATTTGTTAATTGAGTAGTTTACAGATTTAATTCATTGCAGCAGTTCAATCTATTAATTAATTTACTTATTCTTTTCTATATAATCACTTTTAAATATATAATCATAAACATACAACAATATGTTTACAGAACACCTGGCAGAACACCTTCTCCCACCTAGATCTACCTGAGTCACTCGACATACCCAGGAAATCTGTAGATTTTAATTGTTGTTTTTATCTGTTTGTAATATATTGTGAGCCGCCCTGAGTAGACTCCTGTCTAGAAGGGCAGGATAAAAATCCAATAATAAATAAATAAATAATAAATAAAATACAACAATAGGAATGGACAAAACTGTCTGCTTCACATTTTCTCACAGATTTCTTAATTCTCACATTGTTTTCTGTGAAATTTATGAAGAAATTTGCAAATTTTAGATGATCAAGAACGAGCCAAACAAAATTCACAGCCATCTGTACTAGAGATGGGCACAAACTGCTGATTTGGCAGTTCACGCTGCTTCGTTTATCAGCCAAACAGATGTTCAGCGCTTCAAAGTCCCACCTCCTCTGGTGGGCACCCACTCAGAGGCAGTATGAGAACAGTTAAGATTTAACGTACAGAATCTCACTGTTTAGATAAATACAGTTTAATACCTTAATCTTTATGTCAAACCCAATTTTTTCCATTTTTAAATAGAGGTAGGCTTCCATGAATCATACTAATCATGGTTTCCATTTCTGATGCGTTGGCTTGAGGGGTAGGCACTTAGCATCTAGCTTTACTTCCAGGTTCTTCTACATCACCAGTTTCTAAATGTTTATGTGAAATGAGGCCATGCTAAATTCAACACCAAGAGACAGAATATCCATGTTTGTTTCAAAGTATGTATTGCAGTTTGCATGAATTGAAGAAAATTATAGGTTTTAAACATTTTCTCCTATTTCTCCATATTTTTTCAGCATTAGTGTAAATTAAGATGTCACAGATTAATTATGTAAACACTGATATTCTGAAAGTGAAATCTTTACTATTTCTCAAAAGACAGCTCACATTTCAAAAAAAGCAAAGCGTGCTGCTTATATACCGCCCCATAGTGCTTCAAGCACTCTCTGGGCGGTTTACAATTAATTATGCAGGCTACACATTGCCCCCCCCCAGCAAGCTGGGTACTCATTTTACCGACCTCGGAAGGATAGAAGGCTGAGTCAACCTTGAGCCGGCTACCTGGGATTGAACCCCAGGTCGCGAGCACAGTTTTGGCTGCAGTACAGCGGTTTAACTACTGTGCCACGAAGCTCTGATTACTAGCATAGTAGTGTAATATGGATGAAATATGACAAAAAATCTTTTAATATTCAACATTTCATGGGCAACCTGTTTTTTCAAATGTCAATTTGCCTATATATAAATTTAACTTATTTTTAACTGTTTCTTCCTAGCTACCATTCCATTGCATGTTTTGCAAATGTGTGATAGACATCACTTATAAAAGGATAGTTCTTTTAGAGTTTGTATTTCATACTGTCATTTTGATATTTCTCCACATTTTAAAGCTAAAATCCTTGAAGTGTTAATATTCTATCCTCATGAGAGAAGGCAATCATAATGGTTACCAGCCAGGGTTATAGACAAAACATCTCTTTAAATTGGGGTGGGCCAGTTTCACAACCCAAGGACTGACTAGGCACCATAATGAACTATGGGAAATAATAACATTTGAAAAAGAACACCACAACAAAAACAAAGTAGAAGTGGCCATAAATGCATTTTCAGTTTTGAGAAAAGGTGGAATAAGTGGATAGGGTTGAGAAATGCAAAGTGCTACCTCACTACCATTTAAAAAAAAAGAAATGAAAAACTGTTGCCAGAGACCCCCCAGAATGGAAACCTTTTCCACACTCATTTCTGGTCTGAATCCTATTATGCAAGTATGCTGGCATAAGTCAAATGGCATGCATCTCAGAGACTAATATAGTTTAGGTATCTAGCTCTGGAGGTTGGGAATTCGATTCTCAACTGTGCCTCCTGGGAAAAGAGCCAGCTTGTGTAGCCATGGGCAAGATGCACTGTCCCAGAATACCCCCTTCTGGGCATGAATACCCAAGAAGGGCATGGTGAACCACTTCCGAGTATTAGTTACCTAGAAAACCCTGGAAAGGGTTGCCATAAATTGGGATCAACTCGATGGCATGAAATTATTATTTTTATTTTCTGCTGGCTCAGCAGTTCAAATCCTCATCGCACACAACACCATGCAACTGGTGTAGAACAAAGAATACAACAATTGACTTTTCAGCTAATGCTGAGACTTATAAAAGCCCATGTAAGTAATAGGATTCTGCCTATTCTTTTTTGCTCACGGGGGTGGTGGTGGACATAGTCAGAGGGAGAGCTGGGGCCTATGAGTGCAGGATTCTTGTACCATCCTCTAAATATTTTAGTTTTTATTTACAACTGCAGGAGTATTAGCTTAGGGTCATGTGTCTCTTATTGTCTTGACCAGGTTATATGAAAAACCTTGTACCTGTCTATGTCTCCTAATGATTTCGGTCTTTATCCTCCTAATGATGCATTAAGGGAAGTATCCAGTGCTATCATCATATCCACAGTCTTTCTTCCTGGCAATTTTTGAATCACTGTCAGGATTCTCAGAGGCGTGCACCTGCTGGCTTGGCACAAGCTTCAGAGCCTCTGTAGGGACTGGTTAACTACCAGTTTGCAGCCACTGAAAATGACCTAGGTTGTCTTCCACATGTGTAACAAAGCAACAGGGCTTCAGCCAATAATTGTTTATGGTGCTTGTATCTGCATTTTATATAAACCACAATAGGAACCTGGCTGATTTATGAAAGAGACTGACTGATAAACGATAAGAACGCAGCATCACAACAGCAAGTAATCATCATGCTACCTGTTATTCCCAAAATACATTTACTAATGTGGGTAGATAATTAAAATTGCAATATTTACTAGTTGTAAGCGGTGTGTTAACCACATAAAACTGAAACAGTACACATATGGCCTCTCAAAATTCTCTGTTATATTTATGAGCAGCAAGATTGGGGAGACTGGCTCACTGGAAATGGCTGGGGGCAGGGGGGCATTTTCCAGTAGTTTCTTGAGAGTGGGTCTCATTATTAGAAGTGGAAGTAGAGCATAAGTGTTGTTTATTGTTTTTTGTTTCAGCTGTTTGATAGCCTGGTCACCATTTCCCATTTCCCATAAAGCCTTTAATCTATCGTTATTCTGGGGCATTATGAAGGGGAAATGATGGCTTCCACAAAAAGCAAACCAAAATAAAAGTTGGGGAGTATTTGGAGATAAGTCTGGAATGTGAACCTCTTTTTCAAAGTGCTGAGGGAAAGGAAAAAAAAAGTCAGAAATGTTTTCAGAGAAATATCTTCTGTGAAAAAAATTCAGCTGACCTCTAGCTCAAATAGGTTTTCATTCCTTCTTTACCTGAGAAGGTGCTCAATGGAGAGATATCCAACCATGGAATTTCTCCCATGTTTTATGACTGGTTCCCAGCTATCATCTCAGTCAATAATGCTGTGTTTCATCAAAACACTGCTTCAAAATATGCTGGTAGTTAAGGCACTCCTCAGCACCCTGTCTATTTATTACAGTTTATCGTAAATCCTGTGAAGTGGTCACAGCTGTAAACCTCCTGGAGGGGTCAAATACTGTTGCTCCTCTGGACCCTGCACTGCCCCTGACGAATTTGTGACACCAGTTTTCATTTTAATCGAGTTTTAATTTTTTTATAGCTATGATGGATGTGTCTGTAAGACAGCAGATGGTGTAGGGAGCAGGAAATTAATTATCAAGAAAGGTCATTCTTTGAAAGCACAAAACTTCCATACCCCCCTTCTTTTGCCCAAGAAATATGCCTGCTAACCACACAAGGGACATTTAAAAAAACAAAAAGAAAATAGTTAAATCAATCATATTGATATCAGTGAGATGTCAGGGGACAAGTGGACTATGGATATGTTATTTCCACAGCATGGGTATAGCTGATTGGAACAGAATTGGTGCTCTTGAAAAGAAAAGTCATACTGGATGTTGACTGCTAAGGATCCATTGATGAGATTAGGAAAGCCCTCATTTGAGAACCTTAGAGAGTTAAGAATTACTGCCAGTTAAAACAGATTATACTGGGTTTGATGGGCAAATAGTGTGACTTGAAATAGGGTACCTAATACTGTCTAATACAGTGGTTCCCAGCACATGCATGCACACAAGATTTTTAATAAAAATTATAGGATTAATAAGAAAATGGCTCTGTAAGACCATCCTGAGCCTCAAAGCAAAAAAAAACTGTATATTGACAGCTTAAGTGAGTGAGCTTCTAAGTACTTATTCTCTATTTTTAAAATATTTTTACACCAGAAATAGAAACTCTTTCTAATGCCTGTTTGGCCAGGAAGGAA